GAAAACAAAAAGATATTTACATTACGATTCATAACAGTAGCAAAATTACAGTTATAGAGTAGCAACGAAAATAATTTTGTGGTTAGGGGTCACCACAACATGAGAAACTGTATTAAGGGGTCGCGGCCTTAGGAAGGTTGAGAACCGCTGCTCTAGAGGCTGCAGACCAAAGGACTGTAGGCCATATCCTGTTTGCTGATACACATTTTTTTCAATTAATGGCAATTAAATTTTCTACTATTGGCTTAAGGAATCAGGCGCGGCCACACATATGTCCTCTATGGCAGCAACCAGCTGGAGAGGAGCAGTGGCTGTCTTCGGACAGGTCCCCACAGTCCCCGCTAGGCCACTTGGCCCATTTCTGTTATCTGCCTGGTCCCCTCTGGGCAGCTGTTTATGGCTCTGTTTAGACTGAAAGGTGGACCCACCCAGCCCCAAAGCGTCCTGTCCATCCCTGCCTCCACCTGGCCTCTTCTGGGCTGGGGCTAGGACCAGGTGCCAGGAGTGGGTGCTAAGATGGAGAGGGGTCCCTGTCTTCAGATGCTTACAGCTTGCTTGGCACCAGAGCGTTAAGGATTGGGGGTGGGGGCAGAAGTGAGGCAGAAGCAGGGCTCCCTGAGCCCTCGAGTTAGGGAGGAGACAGGACAATGGATGGCAGCAAGCGGGGTGCCCTGTCCCTTGGACCCCCTCCCCCCATTCGTCCTTGTAGCCAGTTGGTTACAGCTCAGTGAGCAGCCTCCGGGTAGGACTTCCAGCCCATAAACTTGACTCATCTGCATCACACTAGCAACAGGGCCCTTCCTGGGACCTGGAGGAGGGAGAGGAGTTGCTGGGGGGTGGAGGGGGAAAGGATTGGCAGTGAATGTGGAGATGCCAGTAGGAATGCCCCCCTCCCCCCACTACCCGCTGCCCGGGTTGCAGCTGACCCCAGAGGAGAGGGAAGAGGAACTGCTGGACAGGGCCTGGCCTCTGTGGCTCTGATCTGTTCCTGTCCTTCACTTGACTCCCCGTTCTCGGTCCTACAGCGCTCTGGCCCCACTGCCACTGCCACTTCAGGGAACGGGGAGTGGTCCTGGGCCCGGTGGTAACTCCTGCTTCTGTCAACAGGGGAGCCGCTTCTGTTGCTAGGATTAAAGTCAATAAAGGAAAGGATTTCTACCAGCCCCCTCTCCCAGGTGGGAGGATCAGAGGGCCCACAGCCACTCTCAGCTCAGGAGAAGCTGCCCCTTCAATTCAATGCTCCCCAGGTGCTCCCAGGTGCGGTCTTCCAGCTGCTGCACCCCTTCCCCCTCCCTGGTTCTTCCTCAATCTCCCGTAGTGCCCTCCACTCAGGACATCTTTCCTTCTCAGCAGCCCTCCAGTTTCTGTTCCCTTTTGTCCAAAGATCTCAGGGTCCATTACTTCGAACATGGCCTCTGGATCTGGAGTTCCAGTCCTCCCCTGGAGTGAGTCCCCCATCCCACCTCCACCAGAGCAACCAAAAGGCAGGGTCAGCCCCCAGGGGGCGAGTTCCCAGTGGTATGCGGGGAGTGTGACCCACACACCGCACACCCCAGTGGCTCTTGTGGCTTGGGCTAGGTGCAGTGGCCTCTTCCGGAGCTGGGGCTGAGGTCTCCAGGAGTGGCCAAGGCAGAGGTGGAGGTTGGGGGCAGAGGGCGTCGGGGAGGCGAAGCTACTCACATGGCTGTTGGAGACAGGTGCTGCCTGCCCAGCCTGGGCTTTCCTGTGAGTGTCAGGGAGCTGCTGCAGCCGGCCGTGCAGGACTTCTGGAGATAGCTGAGGTCTTGGGCAGGGGGAGCATGGTGCCTCCGCTCTGGGAGCCAGCAGGGCTCTGGGTTCTGGGCAGCACCGGCTCTGCCCAGGCTTGGGTTGCGGAGGGATGGAGCTGAGGCTGGTGGGGCTCAGTCTGGCCCCGCCTCTGGGGGTGGGACCTGGCACACCCTAAGCTGTAGCAACTGGGAGGCCTTCCTTCCTCCCTGCTGTACCAGTGTTCCTCCTTTCCAGCCACTGGCTAGAACTTGCCACTTAGGTGGAAGAGCCTCTACGTCAGGCCACCCAGCTACGAGACCTCGTCTCGCCTGCTACAGCCTAGCTTATCTGAGAAATGCATTCCAGTTAATGAATGATTTTGACTACCCTCTCCATTTCCCACCTTAGCTAATACATTTACATTTTATAAGCCTCATTCTAGATAGCACATCCAGCTCAATTCTGCTGGTCTGTGAAAGAGGAGTGTGTGTGTGTGTGTGAGCATGGCAGTGGTGGGGGTGTTTGGGGTTTGTGGATCTTCACTGCCCCCCTATCCTATCGCCTGATGGCACTTTCAGCTTATAAAGCCAGACTCGCCTTCCAGAATCGGAGTCACTCCATACTTTTCTCAACTACTTGGTAAGTCAAATTCTAGGCTACAAGGTACAAATGGTTCTGGAGGTGTGGCCTCGGGCACGCTACCTCTGGTCCTCAATTTTCCCATTTGTAAAATGGGTACAAGGAAAACCACTCTCAGGGTTGTTGTGGGGGAATATCATGGTATAACATGTAACTGCATAGATCCCAGTGCCTGGCAATGGGGGGTTGTGTCTCAACAAATGACTCCTCTCCTTTCTCCTCCAGAGATTAAGAGGCATGAGCCACTTTTGCAATCAGAAAGCCTGGCTTTGGATCTCGGAATCCTGGCCGGGATACTATTATATTTTTTTAGCCGTGTGAATTTGGGCAAGTCACTCACTGAAGTCCTCTTGCCTTAGTTTCCTCATCGGTAAAATGGGGCTTATGCTGTACTCGCCTATTCTGAGATTAACTGAGATAATGTGAGACAAAGACTGAGATCAGTGCTTGGCGCATAAGCGCTCAATGAAAGTTGGCTGTTATTAACATTAGGATTTCTGCCCTTCTCTGCATGTCCCTTTCCTCCAGCCACCTGTCCCCTCTGAGAAAGAACTCCCCGAGAAAGGGAGTAACTCACCAAAGTGGCTGAAGTCATCACCTAAATACCATCTTCAACCTAAGACAAAAGATGTTGGGGGTGTGGAGGGGGAGAAAAGCATAGCCATCAAGGGAGATTGTTATGCAGATTTAAGTCATTTAAGTCGTGGTCTTCTGCATTAATAAGTTTGTAGAGTTAAGGTCATCCCCCTCTTCCTGGTACAGTGAGGGAGACACCCTCACAAATGTAAATGTATTTTACAAAGGGTAAAAACTTCTACTTGGTTTTCAGAGCTTCTTTAAAGTCTGCCCGTTTCTTAAAATTAACCAGCCTAAAATAATCCTTATGCCAGAGACATATCTTGGGTTGACGAATTCTGTTCCCCTACAGCTCCTAGGTTACCAACCTGTACAGCATGTTACTGAACTGAATACTGCAGGCAATGGTAACACAATGGTTATTTGTGTAATGCGTTGCACTATGAAATCACTAGGCGATAGGAATTTTCCAGCTCCACTATAATCTTATGGGACCTCTGTCCTATATGCAGTCCTCCATTGACCAAAATGTCTTCATGCCGTGCGAAACTGTACAGTGGAAGGACATGTTCAGGCGTTAGGAACCAAGGGGTATGGTGCCCCCATTTCCATATCAAGTGTGGCTTTGGGGTGAGGGAGAAAAGCCAGTTAGGCTCCCTTAAGGCCCGAAATGGGAGGGAACAGGCTAAAACTGCAGCAAGAAAGCTGGAGGTGAGACTTTAGGAAAGACTGCCTTGCTTGAGTACAAGTGGCTGGAGCAAGGGGAATTTCTGGGCTCTCTGGGGGAGACCTGAGTTGAAGGGCTGGAGGCACAGCAGTCAGGGGTCCTGGAGAGGCAGGACTTCTGTTGGGACAAAAAGCGGGAAGAGGAAAGCATCCAACCTCAAACCTATCCTCAAGGGAGCTGGTGGGCGGAGGACACTGGGCTCCAGCAGGAGGTCCTCAGCCCCACACTGTCTGGCAGAAGTCAGAGGCTCTGGGAGAGTTCATCCCCGAGTCGGGTGTGGGGCCCCTCAGATATTGGACTGCTACGAATAAACAGACCTCCTTCTGTTCCCAGCGCTGGCCTCCTCCCTGCGGGATCCAGGATGTCTGTGTTTCTTCTTCACTGCTCTGTCTAAACATTGTGTGTGGGATGACGTGTGAAGGGGGACAGCTTAGACGGCGGGAGCTGGGAAGCCTGGGTTCTACCCCTTGCTTGCTCAGCCGTTTCTTCCTTACTGGATCACCAAGTTCCTCTCTGCTCCCCCATCAATTCCTGGGACTGACTCATCCAGGCCTTCTCCCCTTCGCCCACAGGACCCTGGTGCAGGCAGTTCGCAGACGCTCCATTCATCTGACTCTACAGGCCCTAGGGGCCCAACCTTAGCCCCTTTCTCTTGTCCTCAGGTCTGCATCACAGTGCCCAATCCGGACTCTGGCTGGGAACCCTTCTGGGCCTCCTTCGTCCATTCCATTCTCTCGGATGTATGAATTTCTCTCTGCTGACCTTTGGTGTCTGGGTGTGGTATGTGAAGGCTGGAGGTACTAATTGGATGAGTAGAGGCAACAGGGCACTGGGGCTTCCTGGGTCCTGCGTGGCCGCCTTGAGCTGCTGTTCAACTCACCACTCCCTGTAGGCAAGAACAGATGAGTCCTTGGGCACCTCTGAAGGGTTCTGGACACAACTTGTGACTGAGCCTGGCCAGGATCCTGGCTTCAGGAAGTCCAAAGTCAGCTATAGGGCAGAAGAAATCCTGGTCCTCCTGGTAGGATCAAAGAGCCAGATTCTCCAGGTCTCCCTAGGAGCCACAGAAATTGCAGTGCTTCTAGCAATTCCCCGAAGAGGGAAGCAATGCTTGAGCTCAAAATAGCCCCCCGAGCAGACCCAGACTTAGGTTTCAGGCCCCTGTAACTTTTGAGAGGAGGGTCCGTCAGGCCAACTTTGAAATGAAACTGAAGGGAACTAATATGGAAACTGCTGAGTAACATGTCCCCATAAGAGAGCCTATGCAGCCGATAGCATACTTCCTTTTCCTGGTTTCAACTTCCTGTTCTGATCCCACCCTTCCACTTCTTCTTAGTCTTATTTCCTTCCCTGCCAAGCTCCCAGTTCTTGGCACGCTCAGGTCCTGCTTTATCCAGGCAAGGAGATTCCCACCAACACCCTCCTCACCCCCACTGCAGTTTAACTGCCACCCAAGCAGGGAAAAGTACAGCTCTCTTGGGGAGGACCTGGAAAACCCCAAGACAGAATGACCTTGGCTTACAATGGACTTCTCTCTTCCTTAACAGTCCTGCCACTTCTGATTCCCTTGTGTATAGGTACGGAACTGAGGTTTATTAGATAGCATTTCCAAGTATAATTATAGGTGTTATAAATGCCTGTGATATGATAGGCACTTCTCTGTTCTCTTCCTTTTAAAAGCCCTGTGAGATAGGTGGTGTTATAGCCAACTAAAGGTAAGGCCATTAGGGCTCAGATTAAGAAATGTGCTCGTCACACAGCTATTATGTAGTGCAACTTGGATTCTAACCCAGGTCTATCTTCAAAACATCGCTCTCCACCTTTAGTTTATATCCAAGGTCACCTACACTTCCCAGATATGGACCCTCGGGCAGGTGAGCCAATTAGCAGGAATTGAGACGAGCTCACTTTACCAGCCCACATCCCCAGGGTGCTGACCCTCATCTTGAGACCTTCCTCCTTCCGTAGTCCTTTGAGCCTTGGCTGAAGTTACAGTGGGCCTTTGTCCACAAAGGGAGCAGGGATCCTGAGACCACAGCCATGCTAACACCACGTGTATCCTGCCAACAGGTGAAAACAAAGGAGCGAGTCTGGAAGGTTTTTACCAGCATGGATTTTTTATGCCAACATATGAGGCCTGGCAATTGAGTTCGCAAACTTGTTGCAACAATCTTGCTAACCTTTTTTTGACATCAGAGAAATTATTCGTTATGAATTTGTACGAACTGGACAAATAATTAACCAAGTCTACTATTGGGTTGTCAGAAAAGTCATGACGCATTTTTGCAACGAAAAACAGAAAAAATACGTCATGACTTTTCCGACAACCCAGTATTTGGAAGTGCTGCAGGAAAGTTAGATGAAAACGACCTTAACTTTTTGCCAATTCATGGCTCCTGCATCACGACAATGCACCAGCTCACATAGCACTGTCTGGGAGTAAACAGTAAACAAATAACTGTATTGGAACACCCTCCCTACTCACCTAATCTCACCCCTAATGACTTCTTTCTTTACCTGAAGATAAAGGAAATACTGAAAGGAAGACATTTTGATGACATTCAGGACATCAAGGGCAATATGACGATAGCTCTGATGGCTATTCCAGAAAAAGGGTTCCAAAATTGCTTTGACGGGTGGACTAGGCGCTGGCATCAGTGCCTAACTTCCCAAGGGGAGTACTTCCAAGGTGACTGTGGTTGATATTCAGCAATGAGGTTTGCAGCACTTTTTCTAGGATGAGTTCGCGAACTCAATTGCCCGGCATCATATACAGTCTTGGAATTAAGAATTTATTGCTGTAAAAAATATTCAATCCCTCCTTTTTTCCCCTAACTCCATATTTTCTAAGCAACATTGGCTTTGCCATCTACAGCACTTCTCAGAAATCTGATCCCTACTACCGGCAAGAGTACAGTGAGTTCCAGCTTACTAAGAAGTTATGTTCTAAAGTTAGCAGAAAAGCAAAACATGCTTCAAAATTAACCTTGAAAACCCCTTTAAAAGCTCATGGGGTACAGAATACATGCATGTCACCATCTCTCACTATATCTAATTTAGCCAGGTTTTCCACCTACTAAAGGTAGGTGAGAAGGGGCCACGTCCCAGGAAAGCGCTGGGCAGACAGCGTGGTGCACTCTTTCCACTGTGGGCCAGTTCATCCCCACCAAAGGGACAGCCCTCTCCAGGGCACACGTCTGTGGGGATGAGCATGTAACTGCACCCTGGGCTTTTTAAGGGCCTGTTTAAATAAAGTCTGGATAACTGAATGATGCTTTCAAACTTGACTGTGACCCACAGCAAAAGGACATTTTTACAATCCAGTCAAGATGTGCGTATATAACTAAAACATGTGAAAATCAATACTTTAATAAGTATGATGCACTCTGATCTAGTCTATACTATACTGTTTTTAAAAAATGCTGGAGACAAAGCTACACACGTGATAAAAATGCATAGAAATACACCACACACACAAACGAGTCCATGTAAAACTGGTAAAATCTGAGTAAGGCCAGGACTGTGACGATGTCAGTTTCCTGGTTATCCTATAGTCACGTTAAGATGTTACCATCGAGGTTACTGGTGAATGTCATACTGGATTGATTGTATTATTTCTTACAAATCTATGTGAATCTATATCTCAAGATGGTTTAGGAAATAAAAATGCTGGTTGTGATGCAGTCAGGTTTCACAATTAAGGGGCCTCCTATCAGTGTGAGCACTAGATGAAGACAAAAGGGAGAGAAGGTAGAAACCATTAGGATGGCCCTCAGATCATTTCAGGTGTCCCTCAAGTCCTGGGATTCTTTACCAAGCAAACTTTCTGAACTGATTTTATTTTAGGGATCAGTGCCCTGCTAGGGGACAGCATGTTTTGCCAGGCTCGACTCTCTCAAAGTGAGTTTTGAGGTGTGCTAGTCTTTTAGGCTGTTGTGTGAGAAAGAAACCGGCCACTTAGTTCGCATCGGAGCCACACCTAAATACCTATCAATGTCCTGCAGAGCCACACACACCCTGGCACACATTTAGAATGCTATACATTATTCATCAGTAAAGAATAAGCCAGAGACACTTTAATGTGCCTGTTACTGTCCCGCGAGCTTCTTGGACACAGCCTTAGTAACAGACATAGTAACCAGGCTTTACAATAAACATGTTCAAGTTTACTCAAGACATGCCAACTGAGAGCTCACCAGCTAGCCAGTCTCTCCTCCAAGGGAAGACTGAGGGGCTCCTGAACTCAAGGGGTCCAGCTCAGGTTTGCAGGTTCACCTTCCTCCCGCATCCTCTCTTGGGACTCAGAGTCCAGAAACCCAGCAAATTCTCATGTAAGATAGAAAGATTTTCTTTATTAATGACCCCAACCGTATTTCTTTAGATACAGGAGTTTTGAACTCAAATACTTAGGAGAAAACAAGTTAAGATTGCATTATTCTGCAACTCATTACCAGTAACATATTGCAAAGCGAAACAGCTTGGAAGGAGGGTAGAAGGGGAGGAGAGTGAGGGGGGGGAAGATAAAGAAAAAGAATTAAATTGATCAAGTGGATTTTTTTTTAATTCTTGAGAATTATGAAGTCCTTGCAAGCACAGCTCGTTTCTGCAGATTATTTTCCAAACGTGTACAAAATGGAACCAAAATGGAGAACCCCTTGAGAACCTGAAGAGGTGCAACATTAAAAGCTACGATTATCCAGTAGCAAGTGTTCCAGCCTTCAGTTGTCAGCCGCTTCCTCTTCCTGTTCCCAAGAGTTAGCGGGATGAAAACGTCTTCCCCCTTTAAAAGCAGAGAGTAGGTATGAAGGCTAGTTTTGGGCTCACTTTTCCTTCCACCCCACATTCCTGGACTAGGGATGGGATCCCAAAGAGACACCAAACACAGGGTGGAAAGGTTCCTTAGGCAGAGGCACGGGCTAAGATCTGGTGTTCACAGGAAGGTTTCATCAGCTCTTTCTTCCTTCCATTCCTTTCTATTCACTTCCAAAGTGAGTACTTTGGGGTACCAGAAAATATCCGTGCTAAGCCCATGAGGACATTAAATGTATCAAGTAGACAGGAGAAATCTTTTACCCACAATTTCTGGATGGTTTAGGTCTACCTGCATTTCAGACTGGGCTCAACCCTCCTCCTAGTAGAGAGTTCAGGCTACTTCCACACAGCTTATGCCTTTTTGGGCTGGCAGACAGCAATTCCTTAAATCTTTCACTACAGGGGCAGGATATTTGAAGAAGTCACCCTCGGGATGAAAGAACACCTGCCCGACTTTAGGCTCCTGAGTCATAGTGTCCTGGACCACCCAGGAGTTCCCCAGAAAGACTAGCTTTGGGAACAGGCTGGTTCTCAAAGACAGAAAGTATTTGGTAAAGCATCCTGGAAGCTAGAGCTGAAAACTATGGGAAATTAGGGCAAAAATACGGGGGCTAATTTTTTCCTGCTCTGAAATGTCTCACCCCTGGCAAAATAAAACCATATTTTATTCCCCCCTCCCTCAGAAAAAGCTTGTGAGTGTTCAATTCTGGCAGAGCATTGTGGGGTACGGCTGATGGTTGGCTTCTGATCCAGGGTCACTTCTCACAACAGGCCCGACACCGTTTTATGCTGTTGATGGTTCTGCAGACTCCTCCCCCGCTGTGTTGTGCCAGGGACTGTGTGTATGTTGGGCATCCTGGCTCCTCCTGCCCAGCGGAGTCAGTTAACTCCCATCCACCAGTAGTAACACAATCTGGTTTTCAGGATGGATGCTGGTATTTGCCTCCTCCTCCTCCATTCTGAGGCCCACCTCTCCCAAAGAGAGGTTAATGGGCCAGGAAAAGGCAAGGCTGCTCTTTTAAGCCCAGGCAGGAGGTTTATGGACAGTTAATTTATTTCAAGGACTCATCCTCTACTAGTTCCCCCAACAGGACAGGATGTTGCTCCTGCCCCTCAGACAACTGCATTTGCTTTGCAGTGGTCTCTAATACTCCCAATGGCTGTGTAATAAGGGGGGTGGGTGG